TGTGCTTTGTCACTCCACTTATACTTTATCGTTTATTTATGCTTTGTCACCCTATTCATACTTTGTAAAGAATTGATTATAGTTAGATGGTAGGTCTTATCGGTTATCAGAATCACAAAAATTCTCACATACACAAAATATCTAAAGCTATGATTATGGCCTATAATTAAAAAATATAAATATTTAATGGTATTGCGTTAATATAAAACTAACTAATCACACAACTAATAACTCAAAATGTCTTCTCAAAAAAGAAAAGATAAAACTGCTTTTAATAATGAACAGAGAAAAGAGATTATTGCATATAAAGAAAAAAATCTTAGCATTAGCCATGTTGATCTCACTAGCTGGGTAAAAAAAAAATATAATCTTGAAATTCACCCAAGCATTATTGGTCGCTTGTTAAGAAATAAAGACAATGTTGGTAATAATTTATCTGCGAAAAGACAAAGGATGGTTCAGTATCCAGACCTTGAAAATGCATTACTTGAGTGGATTTTACAAAACTAGGATAAAATTGTATTAAGTGACACGATTCTGATCGAAAAAGCAAAATCTTTTGCTCAAATATTGTATATACCTGAAGGCGATCTCAAGTTCTCACACGGCTGGTTATTCAAGTTTAAAAAAAGGCATGGCTTGATGAAAATAATAAAACATAGTGAAGTTGTTTTCGTCAATGATAATGTCATTGCAACTGCTATTCCTAAATTAAGAGAACTCTTGAGAAAATATGATTTGAAAGACATTTATAATATGGATGAAACTAGATTGTTTTATCGGTAATAAAAACAAATTAAACCTTAATATTTAGGCTATACAAATTTAATATCTTGATTTCATAATATAAAACTTTTAAACGGATCCATCAGCTGACGATTTTCTGTTTTGGTTAAGACCAAATTTTGTATTAAAAAAATTCTGTAATATCATATACTGTTTTTTAATGTATTTTGTGAAAGTTAGTTTTGCGAAATTCTGTAATTAAATACAGTTAAAAATATAAAATACGTAAAAATTCAAACAAATGTATTTGTAATTATGTTGATTTGCTGTTTATATTTCTGGAATTTCCTGACCAATATTGCAATATATTAGAATTTTGTGATATTCTGCACTACTTTTTTAGAATTTTGTAGTATTCTGCAGTATCTAAAAGGTGATTTCTGTAGTTAGCTATTTTTAAAAAAAAACTCTGCTGTTTTCGGTAATCACAGTAAATTATCGGCCCTGGCCAGGGCACTATTCAGATTAATCCATGTTCAAATAAATTTTTATTAGACATAGTCCAAACACCAATACTGATGGAAACCAATTAATGTTGCATGACCTTATAGCCTTATCTTTTTAACCTTTTTTTTTTTTTTTTTTAGCCTTGAATCAGATATCATGCTTGCAACTGTTTATCTTAAAGATAAGAAGAAAGATAAGGAGCGGTTAACTCTGGCATTTTGTATCAATGCAGATGAATCAGATAAACTCAAACTATTCATTATTGGTAAATCTCCTAACATATACTGCTTTAAAAATGTAAATCAAAACAAGCTTGGTATTACATATAGAGCTAGCAGAAAAGTATGAATGATAACAGTATTATTTCAAAAGTAGCTAAAGGAATTCGACTTAAAAATGGCTAGTCGCAAGGTGATTCTTCTTGTAGATGGTGCAAAAGTCTATTCCTATAGCAATCTAAACCTCTACAATACAACCGTCCACATCCTTTCTCTATATACAACATCTCATCTCCAATCTATAGATGCTGGTATTATTATGTTATTCAAGCGTCGCTATCGTAATTATTTTATAAAATAGTTGTTTGATCAGTATGAATCTGGAAAAAACAATAAAATAGATGTCCTTACTGCTATAAAATATATTGTTCATATATGAAAAGAAGTGTCATCAGAAACGGTGCGTAATTGCTTTCGATATACGGGAATCCTTCCAGTTATACAAAATAATGAGGAACTTGTCACTAACAATAATGAAGAACTTGTTACTGATGATAATAAAGATGAATTGATAGAAGAATTGCATGCAGACATTGAAGCACTTCACCTTCGAAATGTAATAGATCTCAATAATTATATCAACTATCTAGAAAAAAATGATACAAATGAAGTACTAAATGATCAAAAAATTATAGACCTAGTTACTAATATAGAAGAACCTGAAGTAAATCAAAGTGATGGTAAGGAGGATGATAACAGTATAGAAATATGCCAGATTACTTATAATGAAGCATTAAACACTATAGAGCTGCTTGAACAATACCTTTTTCAGCAGAATTTTAGTAACATGGTCTGATCAGAACATGATGAGGCTTTATCAAAGTTGCAGAACGCAATAAGAAAATTTCGAAATGCATCCTTTAAACAATTAGATCTTGAAGCTTTTTTCAGATCGACTGATTTTTAATCTTAATAAAAAAAAGAAAAAAAAAAAAAAAAAAAAAAAGCCTATTTCGCTCTTTTTAACAACTCTAGTAATACTTAACTGATATTCATTTTAATAATCTTGTGCCGAAAAGAAACCAAAGGGCTTTGATTTGGTCAATTGTCAATCTTATTGAACTAAAAACTAAAAAGTTAACGAAAAAACGTAAAGTAAATGGAACGATCAGCATCTGATCAAAAGTGTTCATATATACATCGTAAACTAACAACTAAATTATTTTAAAATGTTAAATAAATAAATGATTAAAGTTTTTTTAAAGTCATTATTTTAATTGTGATCTTTGTGATTTATAAAAAATGCTTTTAGATCATGAAAAGTTATATACAGTAGTAAGTTGTAGAGGAGATATAGTATAACTAATAATTTTAGGGCATTTAAAGCCATATGCAGTTAGTATTACTTTTTAGATACATTTAGGATAATTTGCTATATAACTATCAAGAATATAACTTATGCAAGACATGATCTATATATTAAACACACACGGCTTTAAACGAGCCCATATTTGTCATTCCTTAAGTTGTTAAATACGTATATATGTATTTCTTATCTTCTTATATAGTAAACGGCTATTGGCTAATTTGCTGTCACATGATTACGATTTATACTATGTTATTATTAGCTATTCTCTAATTGCAACCCCCCTAAATACACGCTTCAGTGCTGGTCCCAACGATATGCATTTAGGGAGATCTGACTGTATTATTATTTTAAACCAACTTTTAGAACTAGAACATTTTTAATTAAACATTACAACCAAGAGTTTGCTTACAGCATTATAAACATCAAGCATATGAATTATATTTTGAGAGAATACAAAAATACAAAAAAGAATATAAGGAAAACTCTCTTTCTAACGAAACTCTCCAAGAACTTGCATCTGACAATTTGTGTGGATATTGTTTTTCTGTCCAAAATTATTATAATTCTTTCTGAAGATTTTGGAAGTGGTATTAACAAAAATTTGCTACAATCTCTTATATCCAAATAATACTTACAGCTTACTTTGATTTAACTACAACCTCTGACTACTCTGTAGCTCAACTTTCTGTTAAAAATATAATTTTTAGTTATAGATATAGATTCTTTTTTTATAGTCCTCATAGGATAGCAAATATACTTCTTACTAATTATACTAGATACCAACTTGTCTTTTATTTGACTTTGGATATTGCTTCTACTATTTTTGATCCTTATATTGAAGACCCTGCTTATACACCTAGTTTACATCATATTATTAATACTGACCAAATAGTAGAAGACTTTAATTCATCTATATCTTCTACATCCCAAAGTGAAGTTAATTATATTGACTTCATCAAAACTCTTTCTGACAATCACTTGGTCAACAACAATTTATCGAACTACAGTCAGCAATATAGGAAAGCAACATAGTGGACACAGCAATATTCTTGGTTTTACACTAAGCAAACTTGTTGTCGACGAAGCCTACAATACATAAAATACCAAGAAGTGGGCGTATAAGAATATTAGATGGGTTTGTGCCTTGGGTCAAGTTTTTTCTATCTTTGACAAACTCTCTCGCATATTTGGCATCCAAACTAGAATGTTTATTCTAGGAACAAGTAGAGCAAAGTCTCTAGGCAAAAATATTAAGTAGATATGTGAAAACTGGACTATACAACTGTAAAACTTACAAGAAGAACCTCACATATTCTCGTTGACCCTCTACTTTTTTTTTCGAAGAAAATTTTGTAAAAAAGTTGGCGATTTAGCTTACCCTTTTCAAAAGATCAACATATCGTTTACTTACCAAATCGGTTGGCATTGTTTATTTTTTTTCTCATTACAACAAACACGTGGATACTTATGGAATGTGGACATATGGATTACATGTTTCGGAAGTGGCAACCCAGACAAACAATGTTTTGAGACCAACTGTGTAAATTTTCAACTTCTCTATAGTGCCCGAAGCACACTTTTGTTTACGCTTTTATGGGAGTTTAAACAAAAGAAGCCAGGGGCTTACAGTGCTAGAGTATAGTGCCGATGTTGAAAAGCTTTTTTTTCCTTTAAGGTTTTCGCTTAAATATACTAATTAGTTAAATTAGAGTAGAGACTAGTTTAGATAGTAGTATGTAATTTTTACAAAGCTCGACACAGGTTTATAATTGTGACCGTCTGGTGTAGATGAAATTCCCATATTTTTTTTTTTTTTCATTTTTCCCTTATCCTTTTTTCTTCTTGTTTATATCTTTTATTGTATTCTCCTATACCTCTATATTTTTTTTTATATATATAGTTTTTCTTTTTTTCTTTTCACTTTTTTACGAGAAGATGTCATCAGATTGGTAGTATCCTATTGTAGGGCAGTAGATCGGACGAGTCTTCCGATTAGGGTATTACTTAGATTTTACCTTACTAGTATGACAGGTCGCTAATGGGCACTCGTTAAAGTAGCCGGGGGATGTTAGGATTATAAGTTTAATGTTATAGCAATATATTTGTAATCATCCACAAAGATTAAAGCTTTATTAAACATCGATTACTAGCGCGATCTTGCCTAAACGAAAAAAAAAAAAAAATTATATTGACTTAAATGCTTTACCTGGACAAAGCCTTAGAATACTCCCAGGAGACTTTGATAATTATTTTGACTTAACTACATCAACATCTTCTTTATCTGCTTATGATAAAAATACTACTCTAATTTCATTTCCACCTTCAGTTAATATTTCTGATTCTCTTTTTACTGATATTTTTTTATATACTGCTCTTACTTCTCCTCCTACTACTAACCCTTCTTGAAACTAAAATACTAACCGGTTTATTCAAATATTTAATAATATTTTATCTATTACTATTAACCTACTAACTGCTAACCTTAATCTTTTATCTACTATTCCTAATACATTAACTACTAATACTTATATTCTATCTACTACTAACTCTTCTACTACTAATATTAATATTTTTCCTACTATTACTACTAATCCATTAACTACTAATCCTCCTATTCTACCAACTGATAATACTTATATTTTACCTACCACTAACCAACTAACTATTAATACTAATCCTTTACCCACTACCACTAATCCTCCAATTACTAATACTCTTATTTTTCCTATAACTACTAACCTTCTATCTACTAATACTCTACCTGCATCTAGAGCTTATCCAGAAACTAATTTAAATACTAACACAACTTCTTTGAATACTTCTTTTTAAAATCAACATCAACTTCCTACTGCATCTCTTTTAGAAGAGCCTGATAATAATTAAGTTCTTGATAATAATAATACTAAACCAACAGAAGCAGAAGTAGACGAACATATATTTGAAACTGAAAGTATTTCTACTGTAACTGATGACAAAGAATTAGACAATATACAGAACAACCCCAACCAAGCTCTTATTTAAGCTGCTTAAGCTATGACTAACCTAGCTACTGCTTTGGGGCAAGGTGATGAAAAATTTCTTATTAAAATTGATTTTTATCGAGGTGATAGAACCCAAGATTCTGTAATCTGGATAGAAGAATTTGATTGTGCTGCCAAAGCTAACCATTGGAGTGCTGCTCAACAATTAGAATTAGCTGCTGCATATATGAAGGACAATGCTCAAGAATGATTTATTAGCCTTTCTAATATACCAAACTGCTATCATGATGCTTGATATAGAACTAATGTTAATGGAACTGATGTTGTAAGTTTTACTAATTTGTTTAAAGAAAAATTCAGTACCTCTAAACAAAAAGCTACTTGATAAAAACAGCTTTTTGAAATTAAACAAAGAACAGACACAGTTGATATCTATATTAATCAATTTAAATGATTATATTATTAAGTAGAAAACCCTGATCATCCTTTCCCAGAAGCTTTACTAGTTCAATTCTTTATCTAAGGATTGAGACCAGAATATGCTGTAAATGTACAAGTAGTAGAATTTGCTAATTTGAATGATGCTATAAGAGAAGCAAGAAGATAAAAAACAGGTCGGGTTATAGTTGCTAAAAATAATGTGAATAGTAATAGCAACACCCAAGTAATGGAACAACTTGCTGATAAACTAGCCAAACTAAACATCAACTTTGCTATGCAACAACCTACCACTTCAGTTTATTATTCTGAAACTAATAATAATAATAACAACAACCCTTCTCGTCAAAACAATGATAGTAACTCTTCTCGCCGGAACAATGATAATAATTCTTGAGATACTACTTGTTACTATTGTGGTAACAGAGGATATTTTATTCAGGATTGTAAAGCAAGAAGAAAAGATAGCAGAAGGAACTACCAAGGCTATTGACCCTCTAACCAAGACAATAGATATTCTTCTAGAAGTAATCGATCCTATGATAGGTCTCGATTTCGTAATCGAGATAGATCCAGAAATTGAGATTATGACAGAAGGAATAGATCTAGAAGTAGAAGTCAATCTTATGATAGATATCGCTCTAATAATCATTCTTTTTATAATCATAATAACAGGTCTAGAAGTCGATCTTCTACCCCCTATCCTAGAGATGTATATACTGCTGACACTACTGTTATAGAACCGTTTATTATTTTATTAGATTAATATTCCGATATTGTATAATTATTATTGTTATTATTTTATTATT